CGATCTGGGACTGGCTGAGGGACTGCACTTTCTCGCCCATGTTGGCAACTGGCCCGTCCTGACCGTCCATGAATCCGGTTGATGACCAAGGTCTTCGCTTTGACGTAGTTTGGTAACTTTGGTGAGTGATCGAGCCGTTGATTGAGGCAGCGACTCGAAGACCGACTGGGTCATAAGGTCAGTCATTTTTGTCTCCTGCGTAGGGAAGTGCATCCTGGGGAAAGAGCTGCAAGCATACCTGCCTCCGTATCTCAACAGCTGAGATACAGTCTGCAATGCAGCGAGACCCGGCCCCCTTGATGTATATGTGAAAGGACCGAAAGATGAAGCGTAGGTCGTGGCTCGAAAGGCAGAGGTGGCACAAATGGCGGCCGTGGCACAAGGAAGAACCGAAACTCCCAGTCGATAAGAACCCACAGAGACTAAAGCAATGAAAAGGATTGGCCGGTGGGAGGTACAAGCCTCGAGGATCCGAAGACCAGAGTGATATGCCGTGTTGCTGGACGGCAGCTCTGTGTGACGAGCTGCTGGCCTCTGCAGCACCAGCGGAGGCGAGTAGGGAGCGGGTTGAAGAGATTCGAGCGTATTCGAGAAGGAAACAATCGAGAGGTCGAGAAAGAAGGGCAGGCGAGATCATGTATTAATTTCAGCAGCCCAGACTTGTAGCCACTTTTGGTCGAGACGCTGAGGTGCATGACCGACTGCGGAAATCCTGGCTTTGGACGGGGAAGAGAGCCGACGCAAGGAGAAGTTACACGAACGAGAACGGGCGAAGAAGAAGAAGGGATATGGGCGGACAGATCGATGGCGAGCGGCGACGGGTACGAGAAGATCTTCGCTGAGGCGGCAGGGGAAGGAGAGGGGGGGGAGGGGGGGGCTTGGCCGAGAGAAAGTGCAGAGGATGTTTGAATGCCGGGATCGAGAGACGAGAAGGAAGGAAGCGGTGACTGTTTCCGATTCGAGGCAGACCTGACGGGATTCTTCTCTGATTGGAATTGGTGCCAATATCAAAAAGGCTGTGGCTTGCAAGTTGCAAATGTTGACACGAGGGAGGAATATCCAGGACGAGGTGGTTGCGCGTGTGAGTGGGAGTGAATGAACGCGATGAAGGGGCAGGGGTCAAGGGGAGGCAGGGAAGGACGGAAGAAGGGGGGAAGGGACAAGAGAAGGAAGGTATACATCGGGAGGCAGTTGCCAAGAGATGAAGTCAAAACAGAGCACTGTGGAGGGGAGGTACGGTAGAGGCAGAGGTGGATTTGAGGGATGAGAAGTGGGAAGGTGTGATACTGGCAAACAACCTTGTTCGAGGAAGCAACTACAAGACGAACGAATCTAGCTTATTCAGGCAAAGTAGGTGCCGTCTTCCATTCGTGGAGGTCGAGGTGGAGGCGGAGGAAAGAGATGACTGAGAATGTGTAGATGGCTTACCTTACCTGCCTCAACGGGCCTCGATGAGATGCCCTCCGGGCGAATTCCTTCAGGATATTGGATGCTCTCAACCCTCTCCACACGGGATGCCGGGGTCCTAGTGTGAGATAGGATGTGAGATGAGATGCAGTAGTCTGATTTTGGACTGACTGGGGATGAAGGTGATGAACGATTTCTACATGGGAGAAAAAGGCGGAAAGGCATCACAGCGGGATAGTAAGACGGCACGATGGTCCGGTGAGATCTGTAAGGCGAGTGAGATGGAAAACCCCAACCCATCTGCATCATCTTGGCTGCCACACTGTATTAGGGCCAATCAACAAGACCCAACCAGACATGATGTACGGAGATGCATCCTCACAAACAGCCTCCACAGGCCAACGCCAGGCTCTTTTCTGCACAGGGCTGGGCAGGGCTGGGCAAGGTGGCAGTCAAATGGAGGTGGCCCGGGCAAACAAAGAGAACTGCTGACCAGGGAGAGGGAAAGAAAGCTCAGCAAGCAGAATGCGATCCCGATAGCATGAGAACGAGATTAACATGAGTGATGCTTGTCACTGATGTTTCCGGAAACGAGAAGAATAAGTGAGAAATAAAGTGCCAGTACCCGGCAATCTCTTCTAAGCCCCAATTGGGATCACCACAGTGTCCAGAATCGTCATGATGTGGCCGAGAATAAGGTATTTTACATTAGGGAGCGAAGCAAGGTGAAGAAAGTTGGATGCGCCTTACGGATATTGTCGACGAGTAGGCACGTAAGACGGGGAGAATGTCTCTCGCCTTCGATTATCTGCCTGCCCTGGTGTCTCACTACCACGTCGTGGCGGCAGTGTACCCGTTGGATGTGCTTCCCAAGACGTTGATCGGATGGCTGCCTGTCTGAATCTCAATCTGGATGGAAATGAGAGATGAGATGACTGGGAATGACTGGCAAGACCAAGAGCCGCGGCGTTCAATTCTTCCGCTCAATTCACGCTTCCAGGCTTACAGTGCAGGAGGAAGTCGCGTTTGGCTGGACCCCAGGTACCTCTTTCCTGCCTCACTGCCTCCACATCCTGCCTCCTGCCATCTCCCACTTCTTGCCTCCCTGAGGTACCTAAGGTACCTCATGACAACCTTAGGTACCTATTCATGGCAGATCAAGAGGAACCGCAAGGAAAAGGAAGAAACAATGCGTCGATTTTTTCGGTCACTGAATAGGTACCTCAACTTACTTCACCTGCAAGACCACCGCTTCAGCATGTTGGTCTTCCAATCTCTGACCGCCCTTCCTGATGCACTTTATGTCCCGGGTGGTCGTGGATGTGGCTTGAGGACTTGGCTACGTTAACGGCCGCAATATCGAGAATTCATTCGTCATCCTTCTTTGCATCTTGCATCTTCCTACGTAGCCCGCCGTTTTGTCGGTCAGATCGGTCGGACCATGCGGTCCCGAGGCGTCATCATCCAGCACACGGTGCGGTCCCCTCCAAAGTCCACGGTAAAGTTGATGGATCCGAATCGTTGCTGTTCATCCCTCACCTCGTGGCCGGTTATCGAGATACAAAATGCCATTGATTGGAAATAACCGAATCGAGAAAACAGGCCCACTGACGGCTTATGGTACGATCTTCCTTCTAAGAGTTCAAGGGTTTTGTCATTCTTCTCCCCCTCGAGACTGCTCTGGATATGAGATCTGACCAGATTGCCTAGCCAAGTCACTTAGTTTGGACTCTGCATACCTGGAGCCTGGACTCGTTGCACCCAATCTTGTATGCGATCGTTTGCCTGATATGCACTGTCTATCTAGCTGTGCCGCAGCTGGGGCTCCCACCACGGATGGCTGAGCTGCCAGCAGGCCATCAGACCGAAAATAGAGGCAAAACACCATACCGATGCCACAGGGACCAGCCTGCATCGACAAGTGCCAGCAACCTGGGACGCAGTAATGGGGGACACCCTCTCGCCCATATCAACTGATGTGATGGACTACGAATACAACATGGATGCGTGGAGGTGCAGGTGAGGTTCAACGATGCAGCAAGAGCAAACGACTAGCCCCTCATTACGATGTCCAACCAGACTTCAAAGTGCACTGCACTGTTGTTTGCCTGCCTATCACGGGCTGGCTGGACTTGACTTTGTCTCCACGAATTACGGATCACAATCCGCTCCTTCACCTACTCTTTGGTTTGCCGGGATAGCCTTTGGAAACCGAATGAACTCCCAACTCGAGCTGGAAACCCGCAACCAAACATTCAGACCAGACTCGAGAAATCCGGCAAACGCTAGCATGGGAATTTCGAGTTGCTCAAGGCTTTGCCCAGCTGCGTTGCGCTGGACCTGCTTCTCCTACCTGTCCTTCTCGGGCCAGGACAGAAGCGAGATGCGGACTCTCAATGGGTGTTGCAGAGTTCGGTAGCGATCCAATCGCCCGCGTGTTCTGTCTCTTGTAAATGCATCCCGCCTGACTGCGTTGTAGTCTTTTGGCCACCGAGCGACCAGCGACGGATTAGGGCCAACGCACGTAAGGCCATCTCAAAGCGACGGTCACCAGCCTAAGCGGTTGCGAGCGGGACATATGCCAAAAGACACCGGTTTACAGGTACTTGACACTGGAGACGCCAGGTGATCTCCGCGTGCGATGCAGAATGCCAATCCTGCACTGTCGCTTGTTGCTCCCCAACCAACCCGCAGTGCCCTTGTTGTCCACTCGTACCGGGAGCGAACCTCAATTTCCTGCGCTCACCCAACACTCTCTCCAAACCCCTCCGACGGCCGAGACACGCAAGCAAGGTCTCCCCAGGTTGATGCTGAGAGTCACGCCATTCCTCTCCCTCGACCGCCAGGTCTCGATGTGGCGTCTGCAGTTTGCTATGAAAAAGGGCATGCGCTCAAACCCTGCGCGTCGCTGCCTCCCTTTTTGAGCAGTCGTCTTCGTCGTCCTCATCTTAGTTTGACAGAATCACTCGACCCTTTCCCTGCTTTCGTGCGGCTTGTTTGCTTCCCTCGCTGCAGTTAACCGGCGAGCCACTATTCGTCGTAGCAGCGCCAGTCTAAGACTCACCATCTACCTTGATGAATCCTCCGGATATTCTTTGCCGGATCGATTCTCTCAAATGCTCGAGCTTGCCATCCACTTGGCGCTCGTATCGTTTGCCCGAAAGCCCAACCGAAGACAGCAGTGGTATTAGAGCGTGATGACCATTCTCATCCCATGCGCGGTGGATTATTGCCAACAACGACTCCCAGAAACACGCTTCAATACAATCATCACAGCTCGGGGCTTCCAATGCATACCCATCCTTGCCCTCATTTTGAAACATTAATGGTATCTTATTCGTAAGTTCGCCATCACTATAGGAGGATTTCTGTCCCATGTTCCGACCGTGACTCGTGAGTCCATGACCAAAAATACATGCATTTTCATGTGCTCGATTCCTAGCTTCGTGAAATTCCCAGCCGTTCTGTCCATTTTCCATATACCTTTCGATGTAGCTGAAAGCTACTCAGAAAGGGTCTTGAAATAAGTCCGATAGATCTGACCGATAGCCTGTCTCAAAAGTGCAACGCCTCGTTGATCTGAAGCAATGCCTTCAAGCACTCGCAGCTTCCACACCGAGGCCAAACCCCGATTTCGTGGTTAACTCAAGCATCTTTTCTGCCACCCACCTACCATTATGGGGGCCTGAAAAACATGAAGTGCGTACCATAACCATTGGCCAGAACATTGTCATGGTTCTGTAAGCAATGCCCTCGGTTGGCGCCTCTTTCTTCCCTTCTAGGCCGAATACCGTTCGGATATCTTCGAGAACGTCTTCAACGACAGAGACACCATCCGACCAACTCGGCATAGGACCTAAGCTTATGGCGACTTTGCCGCTGCTCTCTTTTAGAGTGTTTCGTAACTCGATAATCCTCTCTAAGAGGTATACACGAAGGGAACGGTAATGACTTCGCGCGATAGCAACGGATGACTCGGACGACAGTGAGAATAGACCGTTGAAGACTTTCTGCTGCTGTCCGGAGCATGTTGAAGCACCAGAGAAACCGAGGAATGCGACGGCTGCCTCAAGGTCGCTGCTTAAATCGATCCCGTTCCGGATGAGGTCTAGCAAATCCTCCGGGGGGCTTTCGGTTAACCTGGTCAAGTTACCTTGGACTTGCACCTTGAAGTCAAAGGCTCTCTTGAAATCGACTACCTGTCGAACAAGCGGCTCGAGAACCGGGCCTTTGCCCCACGGAGTTTCCACTTCTTCCAGCATTGACCATAGAGGCGTCAAGTGGTCTCGTTGTATGAACATCTCCATTAACTTGTCATAGAAAGATTAGTTGGAGGGCTCATGGTAGAAATGATCAATGCTACTCACCGCCGCATGACAGAAGAAGGTGAAGCAGGCTTTATCGACTTCGTTTGTCAGGCCATGTTCTGCCCGGAACTTGAATAACTGCAAGCCTCCTGCCCCGTGGGGAAATACGTTCTCTTGCAAGTCAATTGTGCTTGTGCCTCGCTTGCCATTGATGACCTGCTGGGTTTAGCTAAGGCACACTCGGAAAGTAGCCCGAAACATAATAGGCGTTAGCTTCCAAGGGATCAACTCAGGCATACCTCGAACATGCCAAATAAAAACAACGTGACCAGGTTGGCATCGTCTCGCACAGCAACTGGGTCTTGCAGGGCTTGGTTCAGAGTCGAAATGGCTTTGCCGTAATGTCGACGAGCTTCGACCATGAGCCCTGACTGACGGAGTGATCGAGAGGCACTCGCTAAAGCCACAGCGTGTGTGGCGTGTCGTGCGTGACTGGCATCAGAGAGATCGACATCGTAGTACTCGGGGAGCCGACTGAAAATCATGATACTCGCTTGCGCGGCATAGTTGGTGTAGAAGCGGTTCACCGATAATACTTCTGGGCCGACTTGGATGGATTTCGGAAGGACGAGCTCCGGCTCCTCATCCGAATCCAGCAGTGTTTGGGAGGATTCTCTTCGAATAAGGACCGGCGGCCCAGGTGAGCTGTCCTGCGGTTCAGTCTGATATCGGATTGATGGAGGTTGCTGGCGGTGTTTCCATCTAGATGTCCATGATGCTGGATACCCGGAAGACCGTCGTTGTTGGGACGCAGAGATGAATGCTCTTCGTGGCTGGGGGCCGTCGCGCTTCATTCACAAATCAGCCTGGCTAATATCATCTCATCGCCGGGGTCTCCGAGGCTTACTGTCATGCGCTTCTCCTCGACCCTCGAATGGCCCTGTTGTGATTTGGCCAAGCTGGCCATGGCGACTAGGTCTCGTCAATCCAGCGGCGGTGTGGGCTCGACATTCGAGCGACTCTTTCATCAGCAGTACCCCAACAGGACCAAAGCTGACGCGCTTGAAGGGAAATTGCGGACATTGAAGCTATGTAAAGAGGTCAAATCGTAATGGCAAGGTTGGGGAAGCTCCCCACGATAAATGTGGAAATTTGGAGAATGTTTGATCTGGCTGATCCCGGTTAAGATCGCTCGTAGTCGTAGCGGCATATCCCATGTAGTCGAGGTCGACTACTCATCCATCCTTGGCAACGCGGGCGAACACGGCGCGTGCAGTAGCCCCTAGGCCAGGGGAACGACCTCGGTGAGTTGGGTCAGGACAAAGCCTATTGGTGTCCGTCCGGTGGTGGCGGAAGTGACTGAGACGTCACTTTGACCTGCCCCGAACCGGTCAAACTCTAAAAGCGCACAAGTAGCGCGCCGCGCTTGTTACTAGGGCGCCCAATGTCTCACACGGCGCACTCGAAGAATCCTCCGGGGCAGATTCCGGTGGTTACCTAGCTGTCTTTGTTCGTTGGCTCTTCTTTCTTGTTGGGAATCCAGCTGTGGACTGAGCTGTCCCGCACATGGTCGTCATCAATTCGACCTTGAGGACAGACTTTGCTGGCGCAGAGGGATGCTGAGCCCAATGCCAAACCTGCAATTCTAGCCGTATTGAGAAGGCAAGCCGAGGTGTCAAAGGAACCCATGATACGCCGAGTCTAAGGCCGAAAAACCCTGAGCTCAGACTTGAACATGAGGCTTAAGTTGCACAGACGACACCTTGATTTCGTGCATCAGGGTCTCTGCCTGTTGGATAATCGCTCACACGCGTTGAAAGGTTCTTGATACGTTGGCGCGTGCCCCCATCGAGCTGCAGGACATTGGACCCTGACAGCAGCCAGATGATCTGCGGCATACGATGCCGCTGGATCCACAAGCCACGACGAGCCAAGACCCCATTGCTACTATTTCCAACCAGAAGGCTGTTCAGCCATGGCAAAGTCTCTTCCGTTGGATGGATGGATGGCAAAGTCTCGGATGCCAAAACGCGGCATTCGTATGAAATCGAGGCTTGTCGAACCTTGCCAGGCACCGAGGGGCTGGAATTTCTGACTAGTATCACTATGTTTGTAAATCAGGTACGAAGTTTACCAGAGTTGGCTGATGGCGCAACATGTAATACCCAACTATCATCCATGGGGTTCCCAAAAGCAGCTGATAGTGCGAGCTGACACTAGCATCGAGATTCCCTTTGCATCTTATTCGGCGATTCAAGGATCAAGCAATACCACTTACTCGAGAGAGGATGCCTTTCGTCCCATGGAAAACCTATGGAGCAAGGCGGGACAGGCTTTTAGCGTCGTCAGCAACCTTCCCCTCGATGCCGTTACTGGACCTCTGCTTTGAGCCATAGAGTCTGACGTCAAGGATTCCTCATAGCTATGGTGGGGGAGAAGCCGTTGCATTGGAATTCCGCGAGGGGTGAGAGGGCAGAAAAGGAGCTTGGGTCTGATGTTGAACCCCTCATCTTCTTCCACCCTTACCCATGAGTATGATCTCCCCGTGGATGGAGCAGCACAGACGAAATTCCCCAACTTTCCCCGACCTTGACGGCGCGCACATCACAAGAAGCGAAGAGCTCGGATCCTCGCAACGCAACCATGGAGAGGGACGGCAGCGGACTCGTCCAGAGTTTGCGACGGGATCCTAGACAGGGCCGCCACAGGCCGACCTCATCGCCGACGGACTTAGTCGGCAAGTTATTCATGCGACATGCATGACACATCCAATTGGACGGACGGCATTCTCACGGCCACTGCACCGCCGCCGGCGGGTTGCCGTTTTGCTGCCCAGTCGTCCGTTCACACACACAACGAAGCCAACGCTTCAGCCACCTCACTCACATTGGAAGCCCGCCTAGTCCTCCTCCATGATCCATCCCCGCCTTTGCCGCTGATTGACGCCGCAACAGTGAGTGCGTGCCGGCGTTTGACGGCAATGCTGGCCGGAACTGTGGGGCCTCGGCGATGTCCACGATGAGCGGCTCTTACCCGCCCAACTCTATCGCGCTTCCGATGTCAAGCAGTCCGTCACCAGTTTCCAGCGCCGGCTACTGGCCCCATCCTCCATCGGCGACGGACTCAACTACCATCCCGTGAAACCCTAAAGCCGCTTCGGTCGGCAGAGCTGACAAGACATCACTTCCACTCCAAGTCATGTGTGTTCGAAATCCCAATTGCCGGATTACTCAATGGACGGGAGTCCGACTCATTTGCAGAACAGCTAGTCAACTACATTCTAGGATGCACGACACAGACTCGTGAGGAACCGAACCCCTTTATTGTGTTTGTGCCTGTGTTAGGGCGAGATCAAGGTTGTTTAAGGTTACGAGAAGCAGGGCCGAGAATGGGGCCGGCAGTCCCCTCTCACAGCCCCGTCACGGTGCGTCCCACGTCATCCCGTGAAGGACCCTTCACCGTCCGCGTCGCGGCTGACAGTCCGTACACTATGAACGCCGCCGCCGGCACTTGAATCTGAGCCCCTTCCAAACCACCCAACACACTTGACTAGAAAGCTGGAACACGACCTTGCACTCATCACGCCGTGCCAGCTTCTACCGCCGGGAGCACGCCGATCTTTTGAAACCACCTCTCTAAATGCCCATTAAACTCCTCGCTCTCGAGCTGGTGAAACCAGTGGCCCTTGCCCTCGATCACCACAATCTCATCTAGCGCCTCATCGCCCTTCGGCAGATGATCACGGTCAGTACCAACATACCAATCGTTCGAACCCAGCGTTAGGCGCGGGCACTTGAGCTTTCCCGCAAAGGCCTTGACTGCGTTCTCTTGCCTGCCCAGGCTATGCGCGTCTCCCCAGCCGCCCCAGCACAGGGCGTACATGACGGCCTTGTCGAACTGTGCCATGCGGCGGAGGTGCCACGTCTTTTGCCAGGCTGGACACTCCGGGGAGTAGCAGTATGTGCCGAAGAATTCGATGAGAGTCGGGATGATCTTGTCCTGGGCTTCGGGGTCGTTGAAGAGGTAGGTGTCGCGTTCGCGGACGGCGTTGGGGAACGCGTGAATTGGGTCTACGCCGATGGATGCTTTCACGAGGTCCGGACGAGTGGTGGCAATGTAGTACCCTGCCGCTTCACCTAGGGAATGCGAGATGACAATGAGGTTCTTGGTGATGCCCAGGTGTGATAGCATGGCGAGCATGTCTTCGGCTGTGGATTGCGGGTAGTAGTCTATCACCTCCCTGTCGGCAGATTTCTCAACGCCGGGCCAGGTGCGGATTTTGGGGTCCGGCGCCGGGGCGGAGGATTTGCCCTGACCGCGGCTGTCGATGGAGATTACGCGGAGGTTGTGGGATAGGAGGAAGGGGACCTGCCAGGACCAGTCGTGCATTTCGCACGAGAGGCCTGTGATGAGGAGGACTGTGTGGGATGCCGTGCGGGGGCCTTCGTCTAGGTAGAAGAGGTTGAAGGAGGGGTTTCGGGAGAAGTAGGGCATTTTGGCGGTTGGAGATTTGGGTTAGGGGAATTGGGTCAGACGGAAAGATATCACGATGGGTTGCGTGAATGTGATTCAGGAGTCACGATGTAGGCGGGTTCAATCTCATCTTTTATTGCCTTGTGAGTGATGATGTTGGCGGGGTTCCTTTGTCAGACGCTGATCTGAAGGCGTTCCCCATTCATGTGTCGGCACCAGGCCGAATTGCAACTGGCGTAGCCACAATAGGAAGCAGTAAGTAGGTAAGGCATTTTCCCTGTAAGCCAACCCCTCGCATTTGCGGTACCCAATCGGTCTGATTGCTTTATCGCTAGTTTTGATAGCTATCGACGGTATGCCATCGTGGAGGCTCATTGCGCTTGATTCGGTAAGTAAGTCTGACGTGAGATTGTTCGGTCGGTCGGAGAACCGAGCACTTTGGGCTGAAATGGCAGAGCTACTACCCAAAGGAATTTCCCTCCTTGCATGCGAACCAATGTCTGAGCAGAGCATGCCTCAAATTTAAATGCTCTACTGGGTTGAGATGGTGTTCACCTGTGCACTTGGATAAGAGAGTATGGAGGCACGGGCCGCGAAGTTCGGGTTCGGGCTGGGGCCGTGGGTGGAATTGCGGGGGGGGTTTCGGGGTCGGGGTTATGGGGTTTGGTGGAGACTTTTGTCCGACTTTCCGAACCCGAAAAGTCTAGAGTTGGGATTCAATTACGTCAGACTAGATAGCTTACCTTCGACTACCCCTGAGTTGGTAATTAGATGACCAGACTTCTGTCTAATATGAGGACGAGGAGATGTCTGCGAGAAATATCAGGGGTACGTTTGTAGGAGGGATTTCAAAGTAGTATCAAGTAGACTAGGTTAAGGTAGTTAGGCAAGCTATCGACTATAATTTCTTTAAATCTTGAACAAGCCCATGAACTATTTGACTTCAACAATTTGAATGCACTACGTCCGTCACAAAGAAGGCCAAGAAGTCTGGACTTAGTAGGTGATAGAGCAAATAAGAAGTCTCTATACTAGGACAAAGACGTAATTACATATAGGTTGAGGAAACTGACACCGGACCGAGGACAGAGGTAAAAGAATAGAAAGACAGAAAGTCGTCTCAAGCCTTCCTGTATATCCTGTCTAGGTTCCTAAGGATGTTCTACTGAAAGCATTCCTGTCAAAAAGCTTTTTACCTTCGCCCGGTCTCGTGCCAATCCATCCAAGTGGTTGTCCCTGGCTTCTTCCTGTCGGCGAAGTTCTTTCATAAGCTGCATGAATGTTTAGCTAGAGAAGGTACCCAAATACAAAGATCATCACTGACCTTAAGTCTTGTCTCCTCCCTCTCTCTGTCCCGTCCGAGTGTCTCATACAACGTCATCATGGCTTGGAGAGCGTTTCGATATGTTTCAGCGTAGGTGAAGTTGCCGAGATCCCACTTTGATGCCCGATTTACTGCCAATGCAGCCTGTTCTTGGGCAAGTTCAAAATCGCCTATTGCTGTATGTATCCTTGAATCATAAGTAGCAACCTTGGCGATCGCCACTTGGTGAACCTCCGGGCTTGACTGCGTCTTGAGGATCCAAGCAGCGCCAATGGCTAAAGGCAGAGCCTTTGCCGCTTTAGAATAATCGCCTGTTGTCTCGTACATGTCTAATAAGGCGAGTACCGCATCCAAGTCGGTGGGTTGAAGGTCCACGTATTTCTGCTTCAAGTCTGCAGCTTGCTCCCGTTGACAGGCCAGGAACATGACATCTGCACGCGCAGATGCGCAAAGAATGTCCCGATTATCTTCATAATCATAGTCATCGTCAGGAAAGAGAGACTCGCTTATGGCCTGCATGCGGGATATGAACTGATTCGCGACGTCAAAATTTCCCGTTCTTGCGTAAGCTCGTGCCAACTCGGCCATAACCTCGACCGTTTCTTCTTCTTGGTCTGGTTCGCTGTTTTGAAACCAATCCCAGAATTTCGAAAGGAAGACTTCTGCGTCTCTGTGGAAGCCTTGCTTGGTGCATGCATTTGATAGGGATCGATAGAGAAAGGCATATTCGTCGGGGGACTCAACCCCAGTTTCTTCGAAAGAGTGGAGGAATTCCCGATGGAGGCGCTCTGACTCTGGCCACATTCCTAGTTTTTGGTAGATGACGAGAAGGCTTTGCTTGACTGCGAGTGAGAGTTCGTGGAATTCGCCGAGTTCTTCCTCGGCATGTGCCAGGAGCTCTTCAGCAAGCTGGAGTGCCTCTCGAAACGACTGAGTCGCCAACTTTGCACTGATGAGGCTCTCCGTAAACCACATAGTCTCCTCTGCATCTTCGCCGAGCGCTTCACGAGCCAGATCTACTGCTAAGCTATGGTTCTCGACGGACTCTTGGGCTTTATCGGTACTTCCGTAAACCTGTCCCAGTAGATGATGGACGCGACAGGCCATGTCAGGGCGGGTTGTCCCATAGACCTGCGGCGACGCTGCCAAGACCTCCAGCAAAAGAGTCTCAGCTTCTTGGAAGTCTTTGTTCCCAACGTGAATTGCTGCCAAGAGCCTCATGGTATATATTGAATCATCAGAGTGCACCCCATCGCGACTGTCAAGCCCTATTTCAATAGAGGCTCTATAAAACGTACTCGCTTCGTCCAGTTCATCTTGAAGCTCTTTGGCGTATCCGAGATAATGATATGCTTGCTCCAAAGCTTTGCTGGACTCCGGGACCGTGCCGCTGATCTTGAGACACTGGTGTGCTGCCTCCTCGGCCTCTTCAAAGCGTTTGGCCATAATATAGGCATTGACCAGGTGCAAAGTTGCAGCCCTAGTCTCTGGGTGGACTTCGCCAAACTTGCGAGCCACGATGTCCGCATTCTGTTGTAGAAGCTGAACAGCATCATGAACCTTGTCTTGATGTGAGATAAGCATGATTGAGGCAAGCGCGTATTGAGCAATAATAGTTGTATCGTGCTCTTGACCGAGGCGAGCTCGATACTCCTCAAGAGCCTCACGCCCGTATTGCTCCGCCCGGTCGACTTGTTTCTGTTTCCTAAGATTCACGCACAGCATGACCTTGACACGGGAAATGTCCATCAGGTCAGGCTGGAGACAGAGTTCATACCCCTCAAGAACCTGTTCGAGAACGACGCTTTCTTCAACCAACCGATGCTCGTTCTTCAATGAGATGGCCAAGTTGATCATCTGAGTTGATGCTTCGTGATCGGCCGCGCTCGATGCCGATTTAAGAACTTCAACCAGCGTTTGGCGCGTCTCTGACTCTTGCTTCCACAAGCACCGAGACTGGTAGCTGTTTGCAAGCTTCTCTAAAGTAAGTCGGGTGCAGTACGCGTTCTTTTTCCCATGCGTCTTGATGCACATCTTGATTATGGAGCGATAGACAGAGTCGGAATCCTCAAATCGCTGATAAAATTCGAAATTGTCAGCAACGTTGATGATTGCGTCGAATGTGCGGAAGAACTCTCCTTTTTTTACATAAAGAAGCGAGGATGGCAAGGCTCTCGCTATTCCTGCCGCCTCGTTGAATCTTTGGGCTCTGCAGTAGTCAACCGCAAGGTTACATCTCAGCTCGAGCAAGGAGTGTCTATAGCCCTCGAACTTTTCGTCTTCGTCCAAGTCGTGGTTGTCGTAGGCCTTCAAGATTCCTTCTGCCATGGATATCGCAAGGTCGAACTGCCCAAGAATGGAATATGTACAGGCCAGAAAGGCTTCTGCTTTGAGCGTCAGGGGATGTGTGATCCCGAACGTGTCGACTGCCCTTTTGTGAATGCTCTGAGCATCTTCGTGGGCTTCCCGAGTCTTCGCTTGACCTGCAAAGACACAAACCCTATCTAGCAAAGATTCGAAGAGCTCCGGGCTATCCGAAGGCAGTTGGGCCTCTCTCCCTTTGAGGATTTCTTGATTGAGCAGTGCAGCTTCATCAAACTTGTAAAGCAATGTGAGCAAGTCGCAGAGAGTAGTCGCGGTCTTCAAAGTTGTAAGATGTGTGGCTCCCAGTCTTTGTCTTTGCGTCTCAAGAGAATTTCTTAAATCCGTTTCCCTTTCCAAAGGTGTCTCGAATCCATCACCTAATGACAGACGGATTTCGTTCCGTTCGGTCTCAAGTTTTGAGAGAGCCTTCTCAAAAGTGACTCTCGCATCCTCATTGCTAAGGTCTGCGTCGTCCTCGACTGAGAGATCCTCCAGCATCTTCTTGATGAAATCTGGTTTCTCTAAATCCCGAGCTATTTCTTCAAGTAACTTAGTTTCAATGTACTCCTTGAGTAGTCGCAAGTTTTCCAGGTACTCTGGTGCGTCTCCATCCCCACTCAAACTGTCTAAGTCTTCTAGGTATGCTGTAGGCAGGAGCTTTTCTTTATCTCTAACAAAGATTCGATAGCCGTGATGCTCGACTAGCTCTATAACTCTTGGTCGGTTGTTCAACTCAGTGGCAATGTGAAGACTACACCGCCCGTGACCTGGATTTCCTTTACCCAGAAGGGTAATGATGATATTCTCCATGTCTAAGCGCCACTTGTAGAGACTCTCTTCATTGATGGTTTTCTTTTCCCACAAAGGACTGGTTTGGGGACGTCGGCCAACGTTAACCGCGAGTCGTAAAATCCGATCTAGCGCGTCTCCTGTCTCGACAAGAGCTCCGGCTTGGAGGAGGGCGTGAACAGCGCCAGGATTTCCGGAATAGACAGCTATATTGAGAGGCGTGATACCGCAGTTTTCATCATCGAAGTTTGTCGTGGTGTTTATCAATTTCCTGATCTGTGGGTTTTTGAGGAGATGAAACAGAACATGGTGACCATTGACCCGGGAAGCCAATGAAGCTGCACGGTGTAGCAGGGAGAAGCTGCCGTATGCTAGAGTCGCGCCTCGCGCGATTAAGAGATCAATGGTCTCAGCGTCGCACTTCTCCAAACTGATTGCCGCTTCCAGGGGCGTTCGTTCCCCCCACTTGGAATTGATGTCGGCTCCATGATCAAGGAGAAGTTCGACAGTAGATGCATTTCTGGATGGTGTTGTGAGGAAAAGTAAGGAAAACGATACGTCACCAGCTACGAAAGGATCTTTGGCGTCGATTCTTTTCCCCTCACTTTCGAAATCAAGAAAAACGGATGCCACAGCCGTGTTGCCTTGCTCCAAAGCGACCGACAAATTGTCAATAGTTGGCGAGAGCACCCCTTTTTCTAGCAAAAGCTTCACTATGGCCGGTCCGGCGCGGTCTTCCCTTTTGCAGATGCGTAAGACGGCATTCATCAACGCTTCTTTTCCGAGAAGTGTACAACGTGCCCCGCGGTCGATCAGAGCCAGCAGCAGATCCGTAGTGAATCTGCACGGTGCAGCGCTCAAGGCTTTCATGAGTATGGATGACCCACGTTGATCCTCTTCAGCACAAGAAGCCCCATTCTGAATCAGTAGGTCAATCGTAGAGTCGAGTGCAACTCGCGACATCTGGCCATGGACCAATAGTGGTAGTAGAGCGTCATGGGGGCAGAGGAGACAGAAGAGACTAGATGACTGAGCCGATGAGGTTGTCCATTGTGTCGTACGGTAGTTCTCTTCTAGGCCAAGTAATTTCGGAATCAAGCCATGAAGATGCAGTGAGCAGGCCAAAGAAAAGGTGTTCTGAGTCCATCCAATTGTGTGGAGCTGGTAGTTGGAGGAACTTTTCGATGTGCGCTTGATGAACAGGTCAACTAGTGGACCATTGTTCGCGGCAATAGCGAATTCGAGCGCGGTGCCCAGAAACGAGCAGTTTCCTACTTCAATTCCAGGGCTAAGCACGCTGACTTTGAGATCGTCTTTGAGATTGTTGTTGCTCAAAAGCAAATACATGGCAGACTCGACCTCTTCAGGCTCAAACATACTCAGCCAGTGGAAGGGTGTTTCGGGATGGCTCTCGGTGAGGCGCGTTGGCACATCCCTTGAGAGGAGGAGCTCGAGAATATTGAGATGACCTCCCTGACAGGCAATCGTAAGCAGACTGTCCGTCCAAATCATCCTGGATTTGATTGATCCAGAGGCCTCTGAAGGTAAAAGAAAGTCGACTAGAGGCTTGAAACCCTGGCGCACAGCAACACTGAGGAGATTCTCTCGCGTTGGTACACTTTCATAGTCCTCTACCTGAGAGATACACTCTAAATCTTCGAATCTGATGTCTCTCAAAGTCAAACGTTTCAGACTCTCTTCTACACGATCCAAGCATATGCCTTCGATTATGGGGTTGCCCTCGTGTAGGATGTCGAAAGAACGATTCAAGGTATCTCGCTGTTTGCATCTCTCGTGTAAACGAAGACGCCTGACAAAGTTGTCATCGCCTTTGATGCCTGATAGATCCTTTTCGACCCCAACGAGCTGATGGGGTATTTGCCACAAGTGAGGTGGGAGATCGACTCCGAGGACATCGGAAAGTCGAAAGATAAGCCCAAGAGCTTTTGCACTCTCAAGCTGCGCAGACTCCGTAAGCAGGTCAAGTGCTTTGCTCAAGTCCGGTCTCTCCATACCAACCCCGTGAATGTAGCACATAGCTAGTTCGAAGAGAGCAGTCCGCTTTTCGGTTAGCGATGAAGCATCCCTTGAGATGCGGAGGAGTTGGTCCACAAAGTCGACTTGGATGATACGTGGCATTCGGGGAATAGCCTTGTCGGTCAGCCTACTTCAAAAAGACTCATGAAACATCTTAGATTCATAACTTACCGATCTGGTCGTCAAAGCCTTTCCTGAACTCGAGCCAGGGGCCTGATCTGGTAGTGAACCGAGTGTGAACGAGCTCATGCCTTGCCTCCTAAAGCTGTTGTCAGTAATAATGCATTTCAGCTAAACAATATGTGGTGCCTACATCCAATCATCCCTAGTCAAGTCCTTGTGCTGTCTAAACCCGGCCAGAATGACCTCGATACCACGCCTTCGCTCGGGATCATCCCTCAGCGAAGCCTGCAAAGTGCGGATGATAAGTTGAAACAGGGGAGCCTGATTCTTCTCGGACAACCCTTGCAAGTATTTCAGACTCTGGAGAAGAAGTTCGTCTTTTGGGAGGTTGCATAGATGTGCCATCATATCAGTGCTTTCATCTGCATCCTCAGCGCCTTGCAGTGTAGTGAAGTAATGTTTTCCATCTAGCAAAAGCTCCCATATCAACAAGCCGAACGAGAAGATGTCGCATTTAAAGAAGTCCTGTGCATGATGGAGAGCATAACGTCTAGTTCTCACCTCAGGAGCATTCATAAGCGGTGTTCCAAGATAAACTCCCTGCGGTTCTTCAGAATCGTAGAGATCGAGAATCGAATGCCCAAAGTCAGAAAGCTTTGCTATCAGCTGTCCTTTGTTCCCGTCAAACACAAGGGTGTTCTCTAACTTGATATCTCCATGGGCAATGCCGCAACTGTGCAACTTAGCTAGCCCGCTGGCAATGTCATGCATGAATCGAGCCTTAGCTACTAGATCGAAGGTCCCATCATCTGAGTGGCTTTTGCAAAAGTCCCGAAGAGTTCCGTGTGAGGCATATTCCATGACCAAGGAGACATTGGTGCTGTTCTGAGGGGATGTCGACGAATACTCAGATCTAAATCCCAACAAAGACACAATATTCAAATGCTCCTCGATGGATGGAATCGCGAGAATGCGGAGCTCCTTCAACACCGTCGCGACAGAGCGATGTCTCGTAGCGGCACTCCAATCACTTCGGGACTCAGAATTGCCAAACAAGTTGATCTTTTTAACCGCAACAATGATAGGATTTCCGTCATCTCTTTTGATGCGCAGAGTGACTTTATCAACAGAATAAGACGCGCCGTCGCCGAGATGAACCGGGCGGGCATCCCAACTGTGATCAAAGTCGGCATCTTTGAAGTGTGTGAGTTTGACGTGGTCGTCCGATGATTCTGAGTTTTTGGTTGTCTCATCTTCACTTAGACTGACCAAGTAATTCCACACATCTATCGGCTCGAGCTCGGCTGTTGTTCTGGTTGTCGTCGCTGATTCGGGATCGGATTGATTGACTGTGGAAAGTGCCTCAGAGGCAAGAACAGTGCGGATGTCCCATATCAAGCTCATCTCGGTTCGACTTTGTTATTCGTCATAAGAGGTGGACTTAGTTGCACGGTTGTCACCAGGCCTAGAAATGGGGGACAGGATGTGGCTTTTATAGGTAGTCTAGCTTTCCAAGTGCACCATTCCCGCGCATTCCAATGGTCTGACTTGATACACTTCGTATTCAGCCGCACCCCAATCTAGAAGGACTTGCACCACCTGACGCCTTGCAGCCTAACATGCAGGAAAATCTTGACAGAGTAGGAATAGCGTCGCGACTGAGCCACTGAAACGTCGCGAAATTGGCCAGGGTCTCTGAATGAGCTACCCTCTCGACGGGTTATTTAACACCGCAATTGTTTCCTCTAACCATTCTAATCATCTTATCTAGCCCTCACGAAAATCGATTCTCCCGCATCATGGAGGCCGCTGGACTAGTGCTCGGTGCTGTCGCACTGATCAAACCTATATGTTCCACGATAGACAACACCCTGACCAACTATAGCAACTTCGGGAAGGATGCTGACCGCCTCCGGCTGCGATTTTCGATTCAGCGAACCCGACTAGGCTCTATGGAACGAGTTCTCTTTGAAGACAGCAAGTTCGCGCCGGCTATGCCCGGTTGCTTAATCGAGCATCTGCCCAAGACGGTTTGCGATGATATCCTGGGGCTGCTAAGAGAGCTCTATGGACTCTTGATGGAATATGCTGCGGTGAGAGGACAGTACAAAGTGCAGGACCGAGCTGAGAGCCTCGAACTTGGCGACTTGGCATCCATGTCGGAAGAGGACCGCGTCAAGAGTCTTTCATCGTCAAAAAAGGAGTCGGCCATTGCCCAGCAAAAGTCTGTGGGATGGGCAAAGAAAATGCTTTGGGTAGCCTTCGACAAAAACAGTACCGAGAAGCTTGTATCTGAGTTCGAGGCTTGGACCGAAAGAATACAGAACTTACTTGAGGCAGCGTGGTGGCCATCGACTTTCTTTGAGACATTAGAAAGGCTTCAGAAACTGGAAAAAGATGTCGATGCAGGATCTATAGGGCTTTTGCGAGGAATTGAACTGCGGAAGCTGGTCATCACCCCACCAGCAGACATCTCCCCTGGATCATACGCCAAAGAAGCACTTTTGAACGACTTGTCCATCATGTCCAAATTGCCCAACTTTGAGCTCGGCAATCTCAAAGGCTCGGATGGGTGCTACCTGGTAGAGTCGAAGGGTTACACACCAGACTCGGGCAGTGCTGTGAGTGCGGTCGTTATTCGAGAACGCGTAATTCAGTTGGCCGCCCTACTGCATGATGCTCCGTCGAGCGACCCAGCGTTGGCAGTCCTGCCATGTACGCACTACTTTGAAGATACGCCAGGCCAGAGGTTCGGTCTCTTATTTAAGCTCCCAAAGCCTACTAATCCATCAAAACCGCCGCTTACTCTTTCAAACCTTCTCGACGAACGATCTAAAGCAGGGCGGCCATCCCTCTCCGCCAGATTGCGCCTAGCACACAGTTTGGCAGCCTGCGTACAGAGGCTTCACACGTACTCTTGGGTCCACAAGTCTATCCGCTCAGAGAATATTCTACTATTTCCCGAACACGCTGGGATGTCCACAATACTCGAGGGCGCAAAACTGATTGGGTTTGAATACTCACGGCAAGACTCCGACTTTTCCGACCGGTTTGGCGAATCAGAACTGAAACGAAACATTTACCGACATCCAGAGAGATGGGGTCAGCCTACGAAACGGTTCGGAAAGATTCATGATGTCTATGGTAAGTAAAATTTGCGGGGGTACTGATGAGTGCTAATCGGCTATGTGCCTAGCTCTTGGTGTTGTTTTACTCGAGATTGGGCTTTGGTCTCGCGCTGATCAGATTGATAAGGGAGCTTTGGTAGCGCCAGAGATGGAGGACAAGCCCATAACAACGGCCCAGACAAGACTCCTGAAACATGCTGACCAAAGATTGGCTTTCTTCGCTGGGGAAACATTCCGAAATGTTGTTGTTGGCTGTTTGGCTGGGAAGATGGGCGATATCAGGGTGGTAGACTGTTTCCCTGCGATTGTAGAGAGTCTGGAGAAGCTGGCGAATAGTGTTTTCTAGGCTCATGTAGTTCTGGACGTGCTATTAAGTGGCCACTTTCGATGATGATGCTCTTACTGACTCTGTTGCTTTATTTTACGTTCGTTGTCTTCAGGAGCTTCCGTAGCATGTCGTACACATCTAGGAAGAGGAAAAGCATAAGACTTACTACTTACCACACAAGGTGATATGCATATATAAATATATGATTTATTGCGCCCTTACTAAGCTATTTAGGACTAATAAACTTTTCTATATAATCTCTGTTTTCGTAGACTGCACTAGGCATAAGGACTATGCTTTTAACGTTTAATATAATTATTTAGCTTTAATACTTAATAAAACTATACTACGTAGTATATAAATTATTCTATGTATAAAAAGCTATTTAATTAAGCTTTTAATTATATTATTCTTTATATATAGTGACTTTATTTTTATAATTTAATTCCTAGTATATACGATTCTTAAGTTTTTAACTAGTTCTAGTTAAAGCGCGGGTTTTTATTAATTATACGTTAAGGCTATACGGACCTTTTTTATTTAAAAAAAGATATAATACTAAAAAGCTAGTTATTATATAGAAAAACTAGTTAACGCTCTTTATAAAATCGAATTAAGTAATTTCTATTTTCTAAAATCGGCGTATTATACTTTAACTACTTTTTTACTATAAAAACTACTTTTTATAACTTTAATACTATTTTTTTAAAAAAAGTTTAGTATATTTTTTATTACTCTCCCTTAGTATTATTTTTATTAATATATTTTTATTAAATATATTTCGTTATTTCTTATCTAAATATCGTATACTTTTTCTATTTTATTAAAAGGCTTATTACTAAGTAGTTCTATCTTTTTAAACTTTTTTTTTTTATTTAGTATAAATATATTTTGTATCGCTCCCTTAATTACTTTTAATTAGTATATCTTTTAAGTATTTAATATATATTCTTTAAATATAAAAACTAGTTACTTATATAAAACTGCTCTTTTATATAAAAACTAGTTACTTATATAAAACTAGTCGCTTATATAAAAACTGCTCTCTTATATAAAAACTGCTCTTTTATATAAAAACTACTTACTTATATAAAACTAGTTACCTATATAAAAACTAGTCTTTTATATAAAAACTGCTCTCTTATATAAAAACTACTCTCTTATATAAAAACTACTCTCTTATATAAAAATTACTTTCTTATATAAAAACCGGTTATTTATATAAAACTAGTTATTTATATAAAAACTAGTCTCTTATATAAAAACTACTCTTTTATATAAAAACTGCTCTCTTATATAAAAACTAGTTACTTATATAAAAACTATTCTTTTATATAAAAACTACTCTCTTATATAAAAACTACTTTTTTATATAAAAACTAGTCTTTTATATAAAAACTACTCTTTTATATAAAAACTACTTTTTTATATAAAAGCTACTCTCTTATATAAAACTAGTTACTTATATAAAACTAGTTATTTATATAAAAACTAATTACTTATTTAAAAACTAATTACTTATATAAAGATCGGTTAGTTAGTACTCCTCTAATAAATTTTTTAAAACCTAATTCCTATATAAATACCTAACGTACTCTTAAGCTTTTAATTAAAGTTCTCTTTATTTATTCTATTCTCTATTTTATTATATCTTATATACTCCGACTTTTATAATTTTCTATATTACTTTTATAGTATTTTATATTTTTTTAATAATTATTACTTTTTTATTATACCTATTTAAGACGTTTTATTTTTTATACTTTCTTTTTTTTATTTTTATTAATTACTTTTTATATTATAAATAAAAAAGTAAATAATTAATTCCTTTTACTAAGAATACGTCGATAGACGTTTTTATAATTATAATATTTATTTTATTTATATTTTTAATATTAGCGTTACTTAGTAAACTTTATTACTTCTCTTAGTACTACGCAATCCCTTTATTAACTAACCTTAGGCCTTAATTAAAATAATACTTTAATATATTACTAAGTTATTTTTATTAAGGACGTTTAGCTTAACTATACTTAATAATCCGATTAGTAATTATAAAAGATTACCGAGTTTAACGAGGTATATTTAGTAAAAAAATCGGATTTTATTATTATTATTAAAGAGATAAAGAGAACCGAAATTAGAGAGAACTATAAAAAGCATATTTTTAAGATCGCTTTAATATAACGATTCCTTATTAAAATAAATTATCGATCTCTTTTTTTATTTTTAATAAAAAAGCGAAATCTTTTACCCGATTACTCTAGGCTTATTAACCTTACTTCGTTTTATTCTGTTATATTTATAACTATTTTATTATTTAATTCCGAACCCCCTCGTATTTTAAAGCGTAAATATTAATAACTATTAAGTAGGCTAAATAGGCTTAGGTTTAGGAAATTTTAAGAATTTCGTATACTTTTTATTTAAAAATAGGGTATATTTTAAAAAAGTAAGAAATTAATAAAAGTATTACTATATTATAACTACTTAGTTATTACTTTTAATATATATATATATATTATTTTTTTTTAATTATAAAATATAATATTACTTTACTACCGTAGCTATTAAATATTACTTTACTACCGTAGCTACTTAATATTACTTTACTACCGTAGCTACTTAATATTACTTTACTACCGTAGCTACTTAATATTACTTTACTACTATAGCTACTTAATATTACTTTACTACCGTAGCTACTTAATATTACTTTACTACCGTGGCTACTTAATATTACTTCACTACTATAGCCGCCTAATATTAATAAAAAAAAGTTTTTTAAATAATTTAATATAAATAAAAATAAGTAAATAAGTTTATAGAATTCTTTAAACTAATAAGTAATAACTAAAGAAAATTAAATAAAACTTAAGAAATTCTTTTATTTAAAAAGTAATACCTAAAAGATCTTTTATTTAATAACTAATAACTAAAAGAATTAA